GTCCAGCACGAAAAGGCTCAGTGACACGTTGCTGCTGAGGGGCGGGTCCCCGCTGTCATGTGCTATCACTCTCAGTTGTAAGTCTCGAAACTGCTCATAGTCGAAGGATTGTAGGGCATAGAGAACACCAGTGTTGGAGTTAATAGAGACATAGGAGGACAGAGGCACCCCCTGGACAGTGTCATCGATCAGAGAGTAAGTGACCAGGGCATTCTCTTTGCCGTCCGGGTCCAGGGCGGTCACTGAGAAGATGGAGGCACCTCTGGGGTTGTTTTCGGGAATGTAGGCAGAGTAAGACGAGTGAGGAAAAACTGGAGGGTTATCGTTGTCATCTGCCACATTCAGCCAGATGTGAGTTTCGGCAGACAAAGGCGGGCTTCCCCGGTCTGTGGCTGTCAATGTTATATTGTAGCTCTGGACCAACTCCCTGTCTAGCACTTTGCTTGTTATCAATTTGTAATAATTTCCATAAGTCTTTTCTAATTTAAAAGGCAGGTGGTTAGGAATAAAACAGGAGACCTGACCATTTTCTCCAGAATCTTGATCTTGCACATTTAGAAGAGCAATGACTGTACCTGGAGGAGAGTTTTCCATAACTGAATTAATAGAAGAGGTGATAGTTATTTCTGGAGCGTTATCATTCACATCCACAACAGTGATCAACATTGTCGCGGTGGCAAAGAGACCTCCACCATCTTGGCTTTGAATTTCCATCTCATAGAATCTATATTTTTCAAAATCCAGAGACCCCCGTATTAGAACTTCCCCAGTTTGTGAATCCAACTGGAATATTTCAGAAGCCTTGCTTTCCACGTTCCGAAATGAATACATTACTTCCCCGTTGATTCCCTCGTCTGGATCCGTCGCGTTTACCACCAGCACCCGAGTTCCGGAGCTGAGATTTTCTGGAACGCTCACGCGATATACGGACTGTGTAAACATTGGGATGTGGTCATTCACGTCGAGGACCACCACACGAATGGGAATCGCGCCCTTTCGGATGGGATCACCTCCATCTAAAGCTGTGAGGAGGAGGAGGTGAGCAGCCTCTTTCTCTCGGTCCAGGCTTTCCTCCAGTACTAGTTCTGGATTTTTGGCCCCATCCGTTCTGCTCCGCACTTGCAAGGAAAAGTAACTATTAGAGCTGAGCTGGTAGCTCTGGAGGGAGTTCACTCCCACATCTGGATCCCTCGCATTAGGAAGAGCAAATCGCGCCCCAGGAGTTGCATGCTCACTAACTTTTATCTCCACTTCCTCTTCTTGGAAGCTGGGGGCGTTATCATTAACATCCCTTATTTCCACCTCCACTCCGTAAATCTTCAAGGTGTCTTCCACGAGAATCTCCATATTTAAAAAACAGGAGGACACCGTCTCACAGAGCTCCTCCCGGTCTATCCTGCCTGCCGTGATCAAGCTGCCGCTTCGCGGATTCACAGCGAAAAGCTGTGTCTTCCCTCTGGAGACGATGCGGACTCCACGCTGCGCCAGCTCCCGGGGCTCCAACCCCAGGTCCTTGGAGATGTTGCCCACGAAGGAGCCGTTTTCGGTCTCTTCGGGCACAGAATATCGGATCTGCCTGGCCCGGAACCCTCGCAGCATCCCCAGGAAAATGCACAGCAGCACACAGCCGACTGCGGTCCAGGCGCAGTAGCCGATTCGCCATGGCAGGCTCTAAGCCGATATTCCGCTGTTTCTGGAGCTAGTTTGTTGTGAATCGGCTGATGTATCTATGAAGTCCCAGGCCGACTGCATCCAAAATATATCAGAAAGCGAAGGAAAGTACTTTTAAGTTTCCAGTGTCAGGATCTGCGAGTATCCATCTCATTCCGCTTTGTGTGGTAGAGGCGGAGGAGGGAGGGACTAGGCAGCGCGCAGCTTCCCATTCCCTGATTGGTGAACAGCGGCGCCTAGAGCCCATTCTTATTATTGCAACGACTAAGAAATTCCCGGAGAAATGATTACTCACCTCGTCGTGAATCACACGTATTTGTAGAACTTAAAACGGTTATACACAACAATTACAATGTGATGTTAAAATTTTACCAAGAACACTCATGAAAGGAGTATAATTACTCCTTTTAATAAAGGGCTTGCCTAATTTTTAAGACGTTTTCAAAAAATATTACTGGAATTGAAAACTTGCAGGTTATAGTTGGTTCCAACTGATTTTTACCGACTGAAAGGAGAGACATTTCTGGAAGTAGAATAACACGGTCCCGATAAAATCATCACGTAGGATGCCTAACCATAATTCTTACAAGTGTTTCTTTATTGAGTAAATGAACATGAAACACTTAAGAAAAATTGAGTAGCATCAGGATTCCAATTAAAATACCATGGCGTAAAAGTATACCTGTATTTTATATTTTTAACCAAAAAGTATTTTATTTCATGAAAGTTTTATCTGAGATTACCCATGTAGTTTGCTTTAAAATGTCTTTGAGTAGTAGGAAGATAGAGGCATTTTATTTAAACTTTTAACAATGATAACCATAAATTTCACCTATATTTTGGGGGCCCTATGAAGGAGTTATCTAGCTTAAAGTAATATCACTATATTGAAATATATTGGCATACTGTAATATAAAAAGGATTGAATACATTTTTAAATACTTACCTGTTTAAAAATCTTCTTATCTGTTTCAAAACCAGGAGTTAAAATGCTAGCCAGTAGCATGGAAGAGCTATCTTTGTTGAGGTTATCTTGTGTGGCTGGACAAAGATCAACAGACGTGAGAAAATTAAATTCTGGATTCATTTGATCCCCAGGTACACTAAAATTATAGGCATAGGGCAAAGTTCCCTCATTGTAGTTGGGGGGAACCACAGGTCCAGACTTGGAGCAGAGAACTGACTCAAAGCAGCCCCCTGCAGTAGGGCTGAAAGACTGTCGTAGGCGTAGAGCAATCGCTAGAATCACCGCGAGGAGAAAGAGCGCAGAAATCAAGGCCAAGGCCACCACCAGGTAAAACTGCAGCTCAGCCTGGGAATCAGAGGATGTGGGACGATCGCTCAAGTCCGGCAGTACCTCTTGCAAGCTATCCGCGAACACCAGGTGCAGCGTGGCAGTGGCTGAAAGGGGTGGCTGTCCTCCATCTTTTACAGCGACCAGCAGGCGATGGCGGACGGAGTCCTTGTTATCCAAAGCACGCACCATGCGCACCTCGCCTGTTCGCAGACCCAGGCTGAAGAGCCCAGGCTCACTGACCTGCACCATGTGGTAAGACAGCCAGGCATTGTGCCCCGAGTCGGCGTCCACGGCCACCACCTTTGTCACCAGGTAGCCTGGCTGCGAGGCCCTCGGCACCATGTCGAAGAGCGCGGAGCCGTCGGGACCCAGCGTAGGGTACAACACCCGTGGTGCATTGTCATTACGGTCGCCCACCAACACGCGCAGGCTCACATTGGTGCTGAGCACGGGCGAGCCCTGGTCGCGAGCCTGCAGCGTGAGCTCGAAGGAGCGCAGCTGCTCGTGGTCGAAGGCGCGCTGCGCGAATACCACCCCACTCTGCGCGCTCACCGACACGTAGGACGACACCGTTCGTGGCTCCAGGTCACTGGCAACGATAGAGTAGGAGACACGGCCATTGGGCCCAAAGTCCGGGTCAGAGGCACTGACTTGCGCTATAGAGGCACCCGGCTGGTTGTTTTCTGGCACGTGGACCAGGTAGGCAGACTGTCCGAAAACAGGCGCGTTGTCATTGACGTCAGTGATATGCAGGGTGATGGTTTTGCTGGAGGAGAGCGGAGGCTTGCCCCTGTCGGTGGCTGTGATGGTGACGTTGTACGCTGGGGTCTGCTCCCGATCCAGGGACCCATCTGTTACTAACTTGTAGTAATTATTAGAAGAAGAATGAATCTTAAATGGAACATCTCTACTTAAACTGCACCTGACTTCCCCATTTTCCCCAGAGTCTCGGTCCCGTGTTTTGAAGAGGGCAACAACCACTCCTGGAGGCGAATCCTCCATAATCTGATCAGAGAGTGACGCGATGGTTATTTCTGGGCTGTTGTCGTTTTCATCTAGAACTTCTATAATTACTTTACACCGTGTGGAGAGAGATCCTCGGTCTTTTGCTTCGATGTTCATCGTATATCTTTCCACTTCTTCAAAATCCAAAGGCTGCTGAGTTAGAATGTTTCCTGTAGTGTAATCCAGAGAGAATACGTGCTGAGCTTTGTCAGCCACACTAACGAAGGAATAAGTGATCTCTGAGTTGATGCCCTCGTCCTGGTCAGTGGCCTTCACTCTCAGGACGGAGGTGCCTGGAGGCACGTCTTCCCGAAGGCTGACCCTGTACACGTCCTGGCTGAACACTGGGGGGTTGTCATTGGCATCGATCACCAGGATTCTTATCTGAGCGGTACCGCTTCGGGGAGGGGTCCCACCATCTAAGGCGGTCAGTACCAAGTGGTGAGCGCTCTGCGTTTCTCGGTCCAGAGTCTTCTGCAGTACTAATTCTGGATATTTGCCACCATCAGGATTGTCTTTCTCCACCAAGGAGAAATACTCGTTAGGACTTAGTAGGTATTTGCTCAGCGAATTCATACTAATATCAGGATCTTCTGCAGACTCAAGAATTGTTCCCATCCCCGGGCTGACGGACTCACTGATTTCCAAGTTTATTTCATCTTTCTGGAATTGAGGGGCGTGGTCATTAACATCCTCAATCACCACAATGATATGAAAGATATTTAAAGGATTTTCCACCACAGCTTCTAATTGCAGCTCACATCTTCTCTCTTTGCATATCTGCTCACGGTCTATTCGGTCCTTCACTAGTAAGTCCCCGCTCTCCGCGTCTACGCTGAAGTGCAGCTTCTCCGCGCTAACTCGCAGCTTGCGAGCCGACACATCCAGAACACTGAGCCCTAGATCCTTAGCGAGGTTCCCCACCACCGAGCCCTTGGCCAGCTCCTCCGGAATCGAGTAGCGGATCGGCTCGCACAGCGCCGGGTAGAACAAAGGCAGCAGCAAGAGAAATAATACCTTCCGCAGGCCGGCCGGGCGCCTCTGCGCGCAGCTCCCTCCCATCGTTCGCTCGGATTCTCGCTGGGTCCTAGCTTTTCCAGTTGGAGAAAGTGCACTTTACCGCGCTAGAAGACCATTCGGCCCAGGACAGGAGGAGTCCCGGGTCTCGGGGCTGGGAATCCGGTGTGCTGGGCAGGTTCTGCGCAGCCGGGAGCCTGTGTGTGTGAGCTGGTTTTCTTCTCTCTGTTGGCTGCACAGGGCATTCCAGGCTAGAGGCTGAAGGATCCCGGGCGTCAGCGCTTGCTCTGCACTGGCCGACAGCGGCGCCCAGAGGCTCCATGTGGGACTGCAGCTTGGCTTTTCTCCATCTCTTTCAATAATTTTTTTTTTTTAAAAAATACGAGTTGGCAGTCAAAATATTTGAATCTTCTTCCTCGGTGATTCCCTTTACATCACGAAATATATTTCCACTGGTCATACTACCATATATTTTTATGTACGGAAATTTACTATCTTGGATAAATGTTTTCTTCAAAATTTAAAAAGGCACAAAAGAATATAGCATGAAGGTTTATAGGTCTCCTATCCCATAGCCCATTGCTATCCAATTCCTCTATCCAGAGGCAATCATTCTTGCTCCTTTTAAGAGTAATTATCCATGAAGCTGGAAGTACTGAAGATAAGTCATAAACTTTTTTTGCCTTCCATTCTAGCCTATATTCAGCTAGAAAGTAATCATTCCTTCTTTCACATTTGAGTACTGGAATACAACCATTGCCATAGACATTACCACTATACAGGGTGTCCTGTATTGCTTTTAAATACTTATATTTTAAAATATTTTCTTACAATAGCTACAATGTCCAAAAAGTAGTTTTTAAAAAAACTCTGTATTTTTCAAAATTGTAGAACTATTTGAGATGAACGCACAATAATTTTGAAACTCATAAACAGAAATACAATAGTTTCAATGATTTCATAGTTAATAATTGTGACCCTAAAGAGTGTGCTTTCCTTCCACAGACCTATCATTGAACAAATGTTGACTGGCATGAAAAAAATTTGTGGTCTTATAAAGGTCTTGAGAAACTTTGGAATGATTTTTGATTTTATACACCACATTTTGTAGAATATTAGTGATAAAATTAAGAAATCAACCTAATGCATCACTATCTTCAGTGAACTAAATGGACTCATCAGTACCTCTTCTGATCCTTTGTTTAGAATAATTTCCCCTACTTCTTTGCATATATTCTTTCCTTTTTCACAGCTGTGGTTGTTGGTGCTTATATTCTGATCTGCAGAAATGGCATTTATTTCTTGGCTCTAAGTTTATTTTGCTTCTCAATTTCAGAGTTTTCAGAGTTTCAGGTATTTGCCTTCCTATACATTAAAGGGCCATCAAAACAGCTTTATCATATATCTCTTGCTCCTGTTATTGGGAACATGTACAAATTTATCTGTCTTCCCAATGTATATTTACTTTCAGCCTTAGTAATTAGAAAATTTAACAAAAAAGACAAAAGCAGAGCCCCCAATGTTTTTAATTTCACCCTCTATACCCTCTTTAGAATCCCTATTGAGCAACGAAAGTTAAATTAAAATGCTATATCTTCCACATAGTAGTGCAAAATTAGAGAGTTATATGCAAAAAGGATGCTTCAGTGTTATCAGGTATAAACAGGACTGGAAAAATCTAAGCATATATTGTTATAAATAAATTATTAATTCAATGTTGATGAAAAATTTAAGCATATTCAACTGCAACTATCACCACAAAGTATAGATTGAAAA